TCGCTCACTTGCATAGCCTCCTCATAGCATTCTGGTTCTTCGCTATATGTCAAAAGTAGGTAGTCTAGTGACGAGAGATACCTGAGATTCGGTTTGGGTACCCCGGATGACCTCCTAAGCTCCTCACCCTGGGTAGTCGGTTCTACATCTAGAGTCTCCTCCGTTCTTCGGTCAGAATTGACATTGTCTCCCTATCTAGAAGTTCTTCCAAATCCATATACTCGGATGCGCCCGCATCTGTAGTGCTGCTCCTACTACTTTGGTCAGTATTAGCATTGGCCCTGCCCTTATACATCACTTTCTCATTGAATATGACGTCTTGGCTCCTGATGATTTTCCTGTTCTTCTCATCCTAAAGACGATACCCGAACTTATCAATATCGTACACAATGAATGTACACTTTAGTGACTTAGCTTCCAGCTTATCTCTACCATGATCACTGATGTGGACATATGCTATACAATCAAAGACTCACAAGTGTGAGAGATTAACCTTCTCACCACTCCAAACCTCTTCCGGAATCCCAAAGTTCAATGGAACTGATGGCCCGTGATTTATCAAGTACATTGTTGTATGCACCGCATCCGCCCAAAAAGTTTTGGTAGACCTGCATGTAGACGCATGCTCCTCGCACGCTCTGCCAGCATTCTGTTCATTCTTTCTGTTACGTCGTTTTGTTGCGGCGTCCCTGGAGTAGTCCTCTCCAAACGAATCCCGTTCAGAGCACAAAACTTCTTGAACTCCTCCAGTTCATATTATTCACCATTGTCTGATCTCAGACACTTCACTTTCATATCTGTCTCATTCTTCACCATGGCTTTTCACTTCTTGAAGATGCTAAACACCTATGACTTGTGATTTATGAAGTATACCCACAATTTCCTCAAGTGATCATCGATAAAGGTGACGTAGTACACCGAACCGTCAAGAGAAGACACACTAGCTGGACCCCATACATCTGTATGAATAAGCTCTAGCTTGTGAGCTTTAGGTGATCTTCCACCCTTCAGAAAACTAACTCTCTTCTGCTTCCCGAAGATACAGTCTTCACAAATACTGACTTCCATCGAATCAATGCATGTTAGATTCCCTTCTAAGTGTAGAATCTTCATACCCTTCTCACTCATGTGTCCCAGCCTATTGTGCAATAGATATGTACTCTCATTGCCTGCTACAATTGTGAGGGTATCACTCGTATGTGGAGTTAGGTAGAGGGTATCGGTCTTGTTTCCACGGGAAACCACCATTATACAGTTAGAGATTTTTCACGAATCTCCGATGAATATTGTAACATAGCCTTCTACTCCAAGCTGGCTAACTAAAATAAGGTTTCTCTTTAGCTTCTGTAAGTGTCTGACATTCTTCAGAGACTACTTGGAGCCCTTCAACTATATTTGCATATCACCTCGTCCAAATGACACTACAGGGTTCATTATCCCCCAAGTATACTTTCCCAAAGCCCCTGCTACATAGTTATGAAAGATCTTCCTATTAGCAGTAGCCTGGAAAGAGACTCCCGAATCAATGACCCATGAATCAGAATCGCTATCCATAGCGAAAATCAATACATCTTGCACAATATGAGCCTCCTGCTCATTTTTGTCCTTCTTCGATGATTTACAGGTAGAAGACATGTGGCCCTCTTGGCCGCAGTTCTAACTTTTTTTTTTGATAGGTCTCACCTTCGAGTTTGACCTCTTCTTTTTTGACTTCGATCGATTCCTATTTTGGTTCCCCATATTATGGCTTATGCCTCTTTGCTCAAGACTTAGGGCTGAACCTGAACCTTCTGATTCATTCGATTTTCTTCTAACCTCCTCGAATAGAACCATATCTACAACCTCGTTCAGCTTCAACTTCTCCTTTTCCGTCAAGTTACTGATTACGGTCATGCAACCTGCCCAACTATCCGGCAACTGCGTTAGTATCAATAGGGCATGCACTTCGTCATCAAACGTGATGTCGACTAAGATGAGTTGATCAACAATCATGTTGAACTCGCTGAGATGCATCATGAAGGAATATCTTTTTGCCATCTTGAGGTTGAATAGCGTTTTGACGAGATGCACCTTATTTTTAGTTGACGGTTTCTCATAGATCATTGTGAGCGCTTCCATAAGCTCCACCGTCGTCTTCTCCATTAATATATTATGTGCTACAGATTTTGCGAGGGCCAATCAGACCTGCCCCAGGGCTTTTCGATCTAATATTTCCCAGTTCTCGTCGAATTCTTCTTTCTTCTGTCCTTTTGCTTTACCCATCAACGGACGGTAAAGATCCTTCTGGTATAGATAGTACTCCATCTGTGATTTCCAGTAGGTGAAGTCTGACTCATCAAACTTCTTAATTTTAGATTTGCCTTCTTTTGCCATTTCTTACACACAGATCTGAACAAGGGCTCTGATACCAGTTGTTAGGAAATTCAAGCTACTCGATCACCTGTCAAATATGACTCTCTGTGAAATTTGCCCTACCGGATCTTGTGTTAAGACAATAGAAAAAATAAATCATAGCAAATAAAAAATTATAAGAAAAGGAGAACACCGAGATTTAACGAGGTTCGGCAACTTTCCTACATCATCGGGAGCCACATAAATAATTCCCTTAATATCAAAGAATATTACAAGCTTGCAAAAGAGCAGATCTCAAACTTGAGACATCTCAAAAGAGAAGCAACCGAAACTATCTGTTCTTCTAACTATAGGCGTGAGATTTTACAACTTGTAAAATATCCTCTCAAAATTAGCTACAAGAACCCTTTACAAGTCACCAAGATTTTCTTCTCAAAATCTCATGCACAAGAATTGGTGAGGAGAAGACGCTCTGAAAAAATCACCGCCACCAAGCTCTCAAAGAAAATCTCCTGCCTCTCTGAGATTCTCCTCTCACTCAAAATCTCGTGCACATGCTGTCGACAGCCTGGAGAGCGCCGACCTCGCCTTCAATTTCACGCTCAAGCTCGCCTGTGCCAACCCAACTCGAGCTCGCCTGTTAGCCCTCTTCAAGCTCATCTGCAATCAGCCGCGACCTCGCCTGCATTCGACTCGCCTGCATAGCCTTCGCTTGAGCTCGCCTGTGACTTGCCTCTTCAAGCTCACTTGAGCTCACCTTCATGTCGAGCTCGCCTGAAACTTTGTCGACCTCACCTGACGCTCATCGACTTCGAGCTCGCCTGAGCTCGCCTTCATGTCGAGCTCGCCTGAAACTTCGTCGTGGTCGCCAGAAGCTCTCCGCTGACAGGTTTGGGTCTACACCCATTTTCCAACATTAATAACTTTGTAGTATTTAATGGTCGGTTTTAAAGTTTTAATAACTTTATAATATTTAAGTGTCAGCTTTAAAATTTAATATTTAAGTCCAAGTTTTAAAAGTTTCAAGTAATATAAGATGCTAAAAATTCAGGATAAATAAATGTAAAATTTAAAAGATTTTAGTATATACTAGTGTGGTCAAAAATAAATGAGGATACATGAGTGCAAAGTAGGAGAAACCATACCGTACAGGTGCAATTAAGCCTACTTAATTTATAACACAAGATCTTCTCATATCCTTTTTTTTTAACATTTCAACATAAACTTAAACTATAAATATGGACCTTCTACATCCAAATTATTGAATCAAAATCTTGATCGTACGTACATTAATTTATTTTCGTCTCTTTCTTTCTTCTTTTATGTTTTTCTCTTTCCTTTTTTGTCCTGTCCCCCTCTCTAGACATTTCTCCTTCAACCAATAAAACTCCACCAGATGCAACCGTCAACTCAACAAACTTCGCTATTAAAAGATCAAGACATCGGTACCTCATCACTTCATCTCCAAGTCACCAACAAAAACGTGGCGTCGACAACAGCATTCTCTCACTCATTTTAACCATTTGTCCACGCACTAACAATTTTATGCTCTTTCACAATTTTTTTTTTTAAAAAAAATCAATTTTATCCCCGAAAAAACCCTAAACTCACCACGTATCCTTCAATTAACCCCACACGCGTACCGACCTACCCGCTTTCGTGATGATGTGTTGCTCCCCATCTCCACACAAACTCACCCACCCCTTTTCTTTTTCTTTTTTTTGTCACTTTTAATTGATCATCATTCAACAAATATCTCACTCACACGATCTTTGAAACGTGCCGTGTGACCACGTAAACAAAAAGTAAGATAAACAAGAATAAATTTCCCAAACCCCCTGAACTTCAGCGTTGTTATGCAAAAAAACCTTCCTAAGTTTAAAAGTTTAAAAGAATCCTCAATTTTGTGATTTTCGCAAAATCTCCTGAACTTCCGAAGAGTTACGCCTGACGGACCTTGAAAAAAACTTGGCTCGAGACTTGTGGGAGAAAGGAAAGGATAGAAGAAAATTAGAAAAAAAGTTTATGTAACGCTTTCACTTAGAAAGTTATGAAACTTCCACAATTGTCACTTAGGGGCTGTTTGGTTGGCTTTTTTTGTTTGGGTTTCCCTACCAAAACTGACAGCTTTTGTTAGTTTTGACAGGAAAACAAGGGCAAAAAATGACATCCAAACAGCCCCTTACTGTTTTGTAACCCAAAATTTGTGGGAGCAACCGAAAAACAACGTGACACGTGTTGTTTTCTTCGTAAGTACTAAATAATACTCTTTGACAAATTTCAAACAACTTTGGCAAAATCTCCAAGCCTGCCTTTCCTAAATTTTCCAAATTCAAAAGAGAGGTATACAGAGATATGTCCAACTTCAAGGTTTTTTCTCTAAAAAGTTTTTAGCCAATAATAAACGGATAAAGTGTGCGTGACTTTTCCTTTCAAAGCGAAAAATTGGTAGCTAGAGTCCAAGACCTCCCCCAAAAGCAACAGAAGCCCATTCTTTGAGTCAAAACTCATTCCTCCAACACGTGTCACCCGCCGGCTCTCGTCAATGCGGTCCCCACTTGCCAAAATTAGAGAGCACGACCTACCGTAGGTTACGTGGACAAACGACGAGACGGGTGACGCGAGCG